CACTAGGGTAGAGTTTTATTAGCTGAGGCTATAGAGAGGTCTATTACCAGAGGCTAGTTGGTGTGCAAGCTTGTATTATCTGGCTTGAGCACTATTTTTCTATAGCATATTGGTCTCTGCCAGTATATAAAATTCATGTATACAATGAGCACATGTGCACAATTATTTTTTAGTGTACATAATTTTTTAAACTGGATGTATACTAATTAACATATAAGTTGTACACAATTTTATAGTCAAATTTTTAAAATGTATACAAAAAAATTTTTCCTATATGCACATATGCACAAAAATTTTTTTTCAAATTTTATATACTGGTCTTTGCATAGTATAGGGCTGGTGGTGAGCAGCAAGAATAACAAAAACATCCTGCTTATCGTATATACTTACATAGTTGGCATCTCTTAGTCAGGAAAAAATCTGGATAGGTTGTATAACAGGATTTGTACAAGCTTAATCAGGGCTTGGTTTGGGACTTGTACTTGAGATAGGGTTTGATTTTGCCTTTAACTTCTTTCTGACAGACAATTGTGTTAGATATGATCAAGTTCTTTACACTTATAACAGATTACACAGGTGTTATTATTATTATTGTTTGATTAGGGCTTTGCTTTGATATATGTGACTAAAGTGATCATCAATCTTTTATATCCAGTGGTCAATATTTGTATTTGCTGTGATAGTCTCAAGATTTCACTATCTTAAACTTCATTTTTGCTACCTTTCTCACTATAGTATTCTCTAGCTTCAATTTTTTGAGCACTAAGTATAGTGATTTCCAGATTTCAGGTTTTGCAACACTTAACCAAGTAGCAGTTTTGGCCTTGAGATCTTCCAAAAACATTCATATGACATATAAAGAGGGCAGCTTATCTTTGGGGTCGATTTTTTGCAGGAGTTTCCTAAATTTAAATGCATACAAATTTACTTGTTTGTTCAATTGCTACTTCAGGGCATTAAGGTCAACTTGCTACTTATATCATTTTTTCAAGGTAGTGAAATATTGCATAAATGATTAAATGAAACTTTTATCTAGATGGGTTTTTCTATTCCAATATTCTAACTCTTCCTTCATACTATCATACCAGGCTGCTGCATTTCTATATAAATATCTAAAGACTATCTTGATTTTTCACTCAGAGAATTAATTATTAGCATCCATAGCTTTTTCAAAAGCTTTTACCTATTTTAAAGAGTCTTTGTTATCTTCTTTATAAAATGTTTCTATACAGACTAGGTTGGTTTCACAGATTGGTAGTCTGGTGGTGGTAGCCACTTCAACAATTGCTTCTCTAAAGGCAGCAGCAATTTTTTGTAATACTAGATGGAGGAGATTGGGACTTTGATTTCATGGTAGTCTTTTGTTATTCATTTGATCATTTTCAGTAGTCAGGTCATTAGTTGGCATACAATTATTATTAATAGATCATTCCTGGGTTAGAACCAATAGGTCATCTTTTTCAAAATAGTTGGCAGTAGCATCTAAGCTAATAATTTCTCTTGATTCCATAGTGCTTGTATTTATACTTTTTTTTTC